CCGTTGAATGAGGTACTTAGAATCTTGTTGGTGATGTAAAGAGGCATTCTTAGAATATGAGCGCATCCTCAGTATTATTCAAGAAATTCGATACTTTTTCTAAATTTATTCGCGTCTTACTCAATAAATTTAATGTTACTTAATAGCATTTTAGTGAGTAAAGTATAACAGATTGCTCATACATGAGAACGTTGATTTCTACTAGCTTTTGGTTCATCAAAGATTGTGAACTTGAAATTTCTTTTATTTATTTTTCAAATAAAATAGATGAAAATTACTTTAAATATAAAACAACTGAACAGTTAAAAAAAGTTGACACAATTTTTTTTTTAGTACATTAAGGGCAAGACAATTTCCCACACTGAGCGCATGAGGTACGATGACCATAGTCACAAGTATTGCCTGTTCCACGTTGGCATTCATATACATGGTCGGGGATACATCCTAGAAAAGAAATCAGAAAGGTTAAAAATAATATTTAATCTGACATCGTCAGTGATATAATTTAATTATCACGGGACCATCCAGATCTCAAATTCAAGCATAAATGTTTGCTTAATGCAGAAAATCTGAAATATATCAAAAAAGTTGCGATAACATAAAATTATGTACTTATGTTATCTTTTTTGATTCTAGCAGATTTTTAACGTTAATAAGTCCCGTGCGTAAAAATATTTTGATTTTGTTGCACAGTCTGATTTACCCATAACATTATCCTCGTAATTTTATTGGTATTTTTCAAAATCATATACACTTACCAAACTGTCCACCACAAAATTGACCTTGGAAAGCGCCACTACATTTACATGTTGGAGAAGGATCACAGACCGAAAAAACGGTGGGAGTAGAGATTAAAAAACAAACAAAAAATATGAGATATTTAAATGCCATATTGAGATTAACAGAAATTAATCTATAATAATTTTAAATTATAAAATAAAAATTAAAAAAGTAGATAATAATAATTGTTAGCAGTATATACGATTTAATTTGATAATAATGAAAGGAATTAGTGTTTGCTTACCGTTATAATCAGAGAATAATAT